ACATTCTTCTTTCAGTGTGTGTGGCGCTGTTTTGCCGCTGATCCGGCTCACCATTCTGAGGCCACGTGGAAAATCCACATTCATGACGCATCCAATGAGGAAAATATGTTAGCGCGAATGGCTCGGCGCGCAAGTTTGACGCTAAGAAAAAGACGCTCCTCAAGGATGGATTCCCTAGGAAATCATTATAGGGAGAGCATGACCTCTGTGTTTACAGAGGACAAATTAGGTATACAAAAATGGGGAAAAAAAAGACATTTTTCAATAGGAATTACATTTTTGAAAGTAAAAACAGCATGATGAATATACTTGTAATGAACAGCTAGCCTAACCAGGTATTGACTGGACAACACAATTGCATTTGAAAACATTACTTTGCAAATTATCTTCACTTGGAATAATAAAATTATTTTTGTCTTTTTTTTTTAAATGAATATGAGCTCTTTGTTGTTAAGCTGGTACACCACGAAACCCTCGGAGGGATTTCCAAAGACAGTGCTCAGGTTCTAGTACGTATCATTCCAATAGCATTACTGGGGATAACTACATGGATGACAATGATTACGATAATGAAGAAGCAGAAAAAGTAGTCCAGTAAGTAAAGGTCAAAGTTTGAATTTTTATCATATGATAATACATTGTATAAGATAATATGACAGGTCCGTCCATTTTCTTTCGGACAAGCAGACAAACGGACGGACAGGGTAAAAAACTACATAAAAATATTTTAATTAAAACTCATTTTCCCTTGGAAGAGCAGGGTTTCGATCAAATCAGAAAGCAAACATCCTCATGATGTCAATTCAATTTTATACAACTCACAATTCTAGATTGAGGATGGCGACAAAGGGAAATATCAATGTTTTCTGTTGGATTTTATAAGAAAATATTGAAAGAACTGCAAGGCTTCCTATTGTTCAAATTTGTATACAATATTTTGTAGGTTTTAGTTTACCCTGGCTTTGGCAAAGAGGGATCGATAATTGTTTTTCCTCGTCTTTTTTGTGTAGGAATATTACAGTAAAAGAAATATTCTTGTAAATTTTACATTGAAAAGTGTTTACTTAAGATCAGTGATGTTTTAAATAATGAAGAAAAAAAGTTTATAAACAAGGGAATGTGTAATCTTAGTTCTAAACAATAACGACGACGAAAAACAACATTGCTACAGTATACAGTATTGGCTAGAAAGCAAACGTCAATTTTCGAAGGTTAGAGTCGCTCAAATCTAGGCACAATAATGTGTGATCACTATCCACATCTATATATGGGTCATTTTCAAAAAATGTCCAAATTCCTGTTATACAAGCTTTTTTTGAAAATTTTGCAATAAAAATCAAATTTTTTTTACCCGATGAATTTAACAACAATCTACAAGTGTAGAAAAAAATTAAGTGCGATTAAAAATTGACTTGAATACTGAAAAAAGTCCTTCAACCTGAGTAAAATTAAAGAGAATTGCTTGTGATTTGGCCGGATGTTTGACTTCAACTCTGATTATTGATGTAGTAAATATAATTAAGCAGTGTAAAATGACCTTTATTGTGTTGTACATGTTTAATACTGTCTAAATGCATGCTAAAATGTGATTGAAAAAGAGTAAGAATATGATTTTTTTTAAGTTAAGTGTGTGTTATTTTGGCCGTGTCCTAGGAGTTACCAGGACATAAAAGTTATCTGTAACAGTTATCTTTCCTAAAGAAACTCTTCACTATCAGCCTCCTTCTTTTGGTCTTGTTCCCGCCAAAATATCATGAGACACTTTACACAGATCTTTTATACCATAGGCACAATATGTGGTTGAAGGCAAGTTTGATTGCAATAGTAATTTATTTTTGAGTCCTAGGAGTTACTTCGATATTGTGATGATAAATTAATTTGCCATTTCTTTGATGCATTGAGCAAGTTTATAACAAAAATACCTATCATCTAGGAGCTGTGCTTTATGTTCATAAGTCAGTTATTGCTTTTATACTTCCAATTATTTATATAATAATTCCCTGGTGTTACTGTCCATTTTGTTACTGCAAGAAAAGTTACTCTAAGGATTATCTAGTTACTCCATGGACAATTTACATAGAAAATAATTAAAAAGAATGAAAGTTGGAGTCATATGTTTTATTTTCCTCCCTTATTTAAAACTATCCAGTAACTAATTTTGTTTTAAAATGCCAAATTATTTACTTTAAATGTTTTTACCATTTGAAAATCATATGATTTTGCAGTCTTGGTTATGCAAAGGACAGAATTGGGTAACTCCGCGGACCAATTGGAAAAAAAGAACCCTTTAAATTCCCAATTTTAATACAACATTTGTGTAAAGTTTATTACAATATGAAATAACAGAAATATTTTTATCAAATTGGCATTTATTTTTCATATTATTTTCCATGAGCTATAAATTAATTCAATAAATAATTTGAGTAACACAAAGGACAATGTTTGGTAACACAATGGATGTAAAAACAATTAAATATTTATGTTATTAATATACTCTTGCATGTTCTTTTGTTTCTGTAGGAAAATATACAACTTTTATTTCTTTTGAATAAATTGAAATATCAAAACTCAATATGTAATGCAATCATATCCCCTTTTATGCTCTTTAAAGTAACCTATGGTAACACCATAGACAAATTCAGTTACTCAAGGGACACAGCAAGGATTAAAGATAGAAAAATGAAACAAGCGTATTGCATATGAAGTGGTAATTGTGTTCATTGTATTGCAGAAAACAAATGTGGTGGGATATTGCAATTCAAGTAACAATAAATAATGAAGTGCTAAAAATATATGATGGTTAAAAATGGTAACACAAAGGAAGTTTTAGGTAACACAAGGGAATGTGAAATAAGGCAGAATATGATTTGTTTTCTTTAGTCTGAGGATTCTGGTTATGTGCTCTTGATAAAGATGATGTAAACAAGACACATTAAAAAGTTGCAATGAAGCCAATAGAATCCAAGACGTAAAAGATAGATTTATATCATTGAATTGAAAATACCTTTAAAGTTATATCAGATACGGAACATTTCTTTGCAAATGCATTTAAAGTCCTTTAATCATGTAAACCCTTAGATGAAAAAGTCACAAATTGTTCATAACTGTTCTAAAAGGATTTCAATTCAAAAGATGTTTTAAGGAGACAATGTACCAGTCATTACCCTCGAATACAGTTTTGCATTTAGTTGAGGATGTTCTTCAGATTTGTCCAACTGAAATCCCTCATGACTGTTCTACATCCTGTAAAAGTTGGTGCTGAAAGAAGTTTTTAACCTTGGATTTACATAAGCTTTTGGAAAGTGGTGGTGAAGATTATATAGTCGAAGCAGCATTGGACAACAACAAGGCCAGATATGGTGGCAGACCACTACATTTCAAGCCTTTTTGTTGGATTGTTACCCTGAAGAACTGTCAATGAAAGTTTGGCAAACGATCAGTGGATACAAGAGCAAAAAGGGCAGAAAAATATCAATGAAAAAAATGAAAAAGAGTACAGATTAAAAACAGTCAAGAGTTCCTGATAGGAAATCTGACTAAAGAAACTGAAAAGACTGACACCCTGGAAGAGAAAGAATTGGAGTCAATAATGAACATCAGACTACAGATGAAGAGAAATCAGATCCTTTGGAAGAGAGACTGGATAAAGATACAGAAAAAATGAACTTAAATGTATGCACAGGGTTAGACAGAACCTAAAACCATGTTCCTTTTTAAGAGGCCAAAAACTGTAAAAGATAAAAGCTGGTATAGCATTGCTAATGTTTTAATAATATTGTCACCATCATATCTTGTAGATGTGTATTATGTAGAGAGCTCATTGTGGAAAGAGGCTAGCTGTAGATAAATGAAATGAAAATGTAAAATCCATAAAAAGATTAATGCATTCTATATACACATGTATTTGAAATCTGGTCATTTACAAATACATGTGCATGTTCTAGTTTCACAATTATTTCTTCACTAAAAATTAGTTCTAGCTGATCTAAGACTCATCTATGTAAACCTTTGAATCTTTTAAAGATGTCCTTTGTGTTATTTTTTGTCATTGGTGTTACAGCTTCTGCTTGGATATGTAAATACACTAACAAGTACTGATCTATGATTCAAAGTCATGTGATAGTAATTATTTATTATTTGGGCATAACAATTTGATTTCATTTTTCTACTGTCATATATATCTTATGATTGGATAGTTATGTCTATGTCGTTACTGTTTTATCCTTGGTGTTACTAGTCAGACACAAAATGTATAATGAAAGAAATCCCCCGCCATTTTTTTATGTTAAAACCATATACTCTTATATTCACCTCTAGGGTAATTTCATTACTATCCTTTTCGGAAGGAAGGAGAACAACTTTATTATTTCTTTCTAAGTATTACACAAAATATCCTCAGTGTAACCTTTATGTCCTTTGTGTTATGCAAATATCCTTAGTGTTACCAACACATTTTTCCTATATTTATGTTCTAAATCTTTATACAATTTTATCGAAACTTGCAACACAATACTGTCGTTTTCTAATACTAAGTTTATTTGCAAAGCAAGTATTTTGTGCTGAGGTAAATGATGTATGCCTTAAGTAAACGTGTAAGATATATACAAAAGTTACAACACTTACAACTTCCAGCTATACTTTATCTGATAATTTTCTGTTATGAAACTTCAGTTTGATTCAACAGAATAATTTTATCACTATGTTGAGATTGTTATTCTAAAAACCTTAATTTTTTTTTAAAATTATGATTTTACTATGACTTTTAACTAAGTAACACCATGGACATTTATTATTGGGTCCATGTACATATATTGTTTTTTTTAGTATATGTTACTAGAATTCTTTGTGCTTTAACATTGTTTATGCATCTATGATGTTTGAATGCTAAAATAAAACTTTAAAAAGTTTAGATTGCCACATTTATTTTTGCAAAATACTGGTGTTGGAATTTGGACAAATTTTGAAAATGACTCATATGTAGAATTCAACTCGAGAAATGAGTGATCCCTATTTATTTGGTTTGAAGCCTATATTTATCGTCATTTATTTAAAAAAAATGTTCAGATTTGGATTTGAGCAACAAATTGAGGTTGATACTAATTCGCTCTGTTAGTTGTCTAAAAGATTTTCTAGAAAAGAAAAAGTTAGAGATGAGTATCTAAAGATAAAACTGTTCATGTTGCATCAAATGATAATAACTTGAAAGATAAGAACATTTAGCAAACGCATGTTGATTATGCAATGATGCGTTCTAACGATTCAGTTTTGTCTGTCATGTTTTGGGCAATGACAGAGTGGAAATAGATGCATTTCCTATACAATCCACGCAATGACATGCCGTCGAGTAATTTACAACTATTTGCTTTTGGAATGTGATGTAATTTGCTTGCTCTCAAATTTCCAATGTTCAGTTAGCGTATCTCCAGAACTCTGATCTTTTTCATTGATTATGGTGAATTGAGTCGAAGTAAATTTTGTGCCATATGTACTTTTCATTTCAGATTAACAGACGCACACAAAACAGCTATTAGAGTCATTAGAAAAATCAAATATTTTGTAGCCAGGCGAAAATTTCAGGTTTTGATTTTTTGTAATTTTTTTAATGCCTATACAAATTCTAATTTATCATTTAATTCATGCCTAAAATGTATAGATACATTTCAAAAGAAATGAATTTCATAAGAATGATCAAAGAATACCTTCATATTAAACAAACAAGCCATAAAAAATGACATAATTTTTTTTTTCAACAGCAAGCACGTAAACCCTATGATGTACGTGACGTAATAGAGCAATACTCTCAAGGTCATTTAAATATGATGGTCCGAATCAAAGAGTTACAACGAAGGTAAGGGTTAAAACACGAAGCCACAGTGGATAAAAATAACTTTTATAAATATTAAAGATTAAGACATTTATGTGGTTCATAATAAAATTAAGAACCGTTGAGCTGTTTTAACGATAATCTTAAATAAATTGTCACTTCATATATAGATTATTGTACTACAAAGAAACTTGATCAATAATGATCACAATTGCATTCTTAATATAAAAAAGATGTACAGGCGGATATACATGTACCTGAAATCTTATCACCACGCTGAAGGTATCATTACGAAAACGTAACCGTTGGACCCCTGACAAATTGAAATCGACATTATACGGACTTTCTTCTTTCACGGAGGAGTACTAGTCAGATCTTGGCTTACATAAATTAATATAAAGCGTATACAGAAAGTAAGCAGTTGACAGACTCTCCACTGGACTTGTGAAAGTCTGTTTCTCCCCGAAAAATTAAATTTGATTGGTTGAGAGATAAGAAAAAACCAGTAAACAAGCTTTTAAAGTGTAATTTTACCTAAAGATATCGCTACAGTCTTTCCATAAAAGTATAATGAAATTTGTCTGGAGTCCAACAGATAGTGATTAATTCAGGGCCCTTAACGTTGTGAGAATAACCCGAATTTTAAGATATCACATGGCAAAATTGATAAACATTACACCTATGTATATTTTTGTGGCGTTCAAAAGATTATTTTATGAAAAAAAATCTCATGATGTTAGGTTTATTTAACAATAATCTGAGGCAAGTTAAAGGAACAATAACTCTGGGTAGAAATAGAACAAGAAAACGGAACCTCTTTCCTTATTTGCTAGGTTAGACCAAACACTCGGGAAGCCCAGCACATTATATTCCAGTGGTTACCATAAGGACCGAGAAAAATTAACCATCAGTGCAAGAGTTGTCCGGTGTGAAAATCAGGTATTTAACTACAAACGATGAATATTAATAATGATTTATATGAATTAAATATATAAAATTATCTTCAAGTATTTTGAAGCATCAATAGTACATTGGTTCCCCCTAGGGAGTTTCATTATATAAGTGGAGGTCAAAGATCAAGGGCCAAACTGGACACGGGAATATATTGACTGTTAAATATATTAGATACCCCTTACTTGACATAATATTAAACCTGGTACACTGGTTCTCAGTATTAAGGAGTAAATGACCTCTATTGAAACGATTTTTATGGGTTTATTTCAAAGGTCAAGGTCAAACTACAGAAGACATTTAGGGAATGAATGAAAGTGGGGGGGGGGGGGCTAAACCTACGAAGACATGTTTCATACTAAGTATATATTTGGAAAAAAAGTGGGGGGGGGGGCTAAGCCTAGCCCCTAGCCCCCCCCCCGGTTCCGACGCCTATGTATCTAGACTTCCAGGTCACAAGATTTAAGTTTAGGACATGGGAAAAGATTGACCGCTCAGTATCTTTGAAAATCATTAAACTTGGCACGCTGGTACTAAGAAGTAAAATATTGAGAGTAGACTAAATTTGATTGCGTCTGACTACATGGGTCATGTGCAAAAGGTTACTTTTGTTTCACTTTCACTTTACAGGCATTCTAGATTTAAAGTTAACCATTTCAATATTGTTACATAGGGAAATATATGTTTTTAAAACTGTTCTTGTTTTATTAAATTTATTTACTTTTCTTTTATTTTAATATAAAGTTCTTATATTTTGCAGTTAAATAAAATGGACCAGAAACTAGATCAGGTATTGTTTATGATAAATTCTTTACTGAAATCCAAGAAAGTGAACAAGTCCGCCAGGAGGAGAAGTTTGAGGCAGGCCTATGTCATGATGATCATGTGACCGTGATTAACCAATGAACTTATAAAGTTTAAAAAGAACTCTTTGAACTCCAGTTTTGCTCCTGAGGTTGTGATTTTTGATTTTTTATGTTCATACCTGGCACATATGAGGAATTTTTATGTACGTTGTTATATTGCACAAGATCCTTTTCATCAATCAAAGTGGTAATGAAACAAAGTAGAATCTCAGGAAATGTATGAGGTCTAGTTTATTGAATGCATTGTGTACTGGTAATTCGTCTCGTTTTATACTTTCTCAGATTCTTGTTTTGTTACTTTACGCATTTTTCCAAGAAAGAAATGAAATGTTACGCCACATAGATTTTACCCCTTTGTTGTACAAATAAAGAACATTTCATTAACTGCAAAATAATGCATTTTTATGAAAATATTATTTCTTTCAAAATACCGGTTTTCTTATCAAGAGACCTTTTCCTGTACAGGACAATCTCGAATAATGAATGAATTTTTCTGTGATTGAGTTTAGCTATTGCACTTGTTTGTGAGTTGTAAAAAAGAGAGTGAGACTGAAATGCGACAGCACAAATGGATCGAGGACAAAAGGTGAGGCAGCAATTGTTAAAGGGCAACAAATAAAGATATAATCACCCTCCCAATGTCTCTTAATAAGAACGAGGGAGCAGGAGGACAAAATCAGACCATGCTGTGACGTATAGACTGATAATAACACGATATATTTCTTCCATTACGTATACTTGTATTTTGTCAATCATACGAAAAAAAAAATAACATTTTCCGGCATTGTTCCTCGGGATCGATCTTTGTGATACTAGTACTTTTAAGATCAAATCTAGTGAACGAGGTGTGAATATTTGATGAAGAGCACTCAAATTTTGAGCAGATTTTTGGGGCGATATGAGAGACAGTTCTAATGAGAGAATAACGTTCTATGTGTGATCAACTGCAATTTTAAAGAAGTTTTATATATTTTCGTGGTTACGTTGTGTATTGTTAAATACCGTAATAAAAAATACACATCCCTGAAGGGTTTTACTTTTTTGTGTCATTAAATGTCTAATTAAGGATACAACATTTCAACCAATGAAATAACTGAAAAATTTTAAACCATGCAATTTACTGTAAACTTAAGACTGTAAATTACTTAAGGTTCATAAACCCCCTGCTCACTCATATAGATTTGTTCTTGAACTTTAATGATTTTCAAAAGGAAATGTATATGCTGAATAAAATGCAAACAATTATAGCATGGCTTGCGGGGCAAAATTTGACAAAAAATGCACTTCAGCTTGACAAATTTATAAGGGAATAATAGACATTTGTATCATTAAGAGTTATCTCTCTTATCAGAGTATCAATGTTCCTTAAGTTAACTCTGTATACCGTCTTCCAAGGAAGACGGTAATAAAAGTAAAAAATAAATACCGTTTTAAAGAAAATCAGAAGAAATTTTTATTTAAAAAAAATCTAGCATTAGATACCAATGCTTATTAGCATGATATAAAATTAGAAATCTATTTTTTGCACTGATAGCACAAAC